TATATATATATATATACATAAACTTAAGATTTAATAAGTACTTAATATTTGTTTTTTATTTATTGATTATCCATACTATAGTGATAATTAAAAAAATGTAGTTTTGCGACATAATATATAATATTATTAAATTATTAAATCTTAAATATGCATTCTACATACTAATCATAAATTTAATAATGCAGTAAACGTTCAATTATTCAAATATTTATATCTGCTTATGTCAACGATTGGAAATTAAATTCGCATCAATAATACCGATATGAAATTTTTATTAATATATTTTTATAGATATTTTTTCAATTACATCTCCCCCGCAGCCCGCTTGATAGTCATGATAATTTTATCAAGTAATAAACAAGCGAAAAATCCATAACCGATTGTCAATAACATGATGATGATAATTGTATACCGACGAATTATACACTGCGGAATTATCACTCAACAAACAGCTTCACGGCGCTCGCAACTGGCGCAACACTCACGGCTGCGTTCAGATCGTTCAGGAATACTCAGAATTGATGGCAAACTTCAAGCTTCAAGTAGTAGCCATACTAGTCATCACGCAGCAAATGTGACTCGTAACGTTTTCGATCTGTGCCAGTACACGTCTTTTTCAATTTCCATCGATCGAGAATCGCCGTTCTCTACGCGATTCCGCGATTACGGTTATTAGAAGAAATTCTACTCGTCGACGGCGCCGGAGGGCAACCAGGAACGACGACGTAGGAGTCACCAGAAGGCCGGCTCTGTCCTTATCTCCTCATTCTCTCCTTTTCTCGCGCAAGCGAGCCACCTCGAAAATTCAACCTCGTCGATAACGGCAGCGAGGAACCTTCACGTATCGTGACACGTATCGGGTAGGAAGGGCGATTCATCTGTCTCGAATCTCGGCTCCCCCGAGCGGAGGATTTTCACGCTAGAAAGCGGCCGTCCAGCAGGGCGATACCATCTTATATGACTTTACTTCGACAACGAGGTAAGTTTCCCCTCGCCTCTCGGACTCCCTCGGATTTTAACGGTCCGAGAGATTCACCGACTCGACGATGACGAGTCCAATCGATATCGATTTAGCGCCAATCGCGTCAATCGAATTGCCAATTATTTTTTTTTCTTCTGATGTGCCATAACCTCTCTGCGCCCATGTTGCTCGTGCTCGCTCGCTCTCTAATTTTAGCGATCAGCCATTTTGGACACACGGCACGATGGGGCGTGCGTGCGTGCAAACACGAGCGAGCCGTGCCAGCCGTGAACCCCTCGCTCTTCTGCGGAAATGAGCGTTTCCCTCTCTCTTTCTCTCTCTCTTCCTTACCGTTTGCATTGGACGACGTAACGATGACGACTCGCGTGCGTGCCGCAACGATGGAGGAAACGATCCTTCTCGAAGCCGGTCCTGAGATTCTGTAATGTGAGAGTCTCGCCATGAGCGATTTTATCAAAACAAGAGTGAGGAAGAAGAGTATATGTACTGCGTCTTTTTATGTATGCTGTTTTATTCTAACTTATATTCAAAATTTATATGCCCATTTTTTTCCACTAATGTAGAGCAACTTTAATCCTAGTTTAACTTATTCTTCATCTTTTTCTAAAATTAAGAATAGGAAAAAGATGAAAAGTAAGTTGATCTTCTAAATCTTACTCTGACGAGTGAATCTCGCTGTTAAAGATTTTTATTCAAGACTCAATTTTTAATTTTTAGAGAGATTTTATTCCATAAAATTTAGAGAGTATCTTACTCATTCCAATTTATTGAAGTTGACAAAAATAAAGCCAATCAAGTTGTTATCTCAAAGCCAGACTGTGTTATAGGATCTCTGACTCAATATTGGTCAATACTGAATTCTTTAATCCGCGCTTTTCTTCTTATTTTCAGCTAATCTATTACTACTAGACCTGATGCAAAAATAGGCTGCTTAATGTAAACGCATTTGTGCGTTTCTATGGAAAATTCCATGGAAAAAACACAAAGATAGAAAATACAGGATAAAAAAGCCTTTTCAGATCTAGATTCTTCGATAGAAAGAAGAGAAAAAGGAACGAATGCAATTAGACACACCGATCTCTATTCGTATTATGTCCACAGGTTTAGTTCTTTTTAGCTGAACTTCCTGTACAATTCATCTTTTTTTCGTATCTAATATGAAAAGAAAAAGAGAATAGAACCGTGCAAGAAATTCAGCTAGAAAAAAGAACAGGCGTAATTTCTACCAATAGGTTTTTTTTTATTACTGAACTAATGTTCAGTACACATACTACACTTTTTATAATTATTGAAATAGATAGATGTTTGAAATTTGGCGAAAGCGAGAAGGCGCAAATGCAGTCCAATGCAATAATAAAAAAAAACAAACGTGTAGATTCACTTTAATTTCAGTTTAACTTATTTCTTCTATTTTGCTAATTTTAACATTAGAGAAAGGTAAAGATTAAATTAAATGAATTTAAAATTAATTTGGTAGAAATAGACGTTAAACGTACATATGTATTTTCACTTCAAGTAATTCGCGTTTTGTAATTTGGTAGCTCCTGTACTCTCTGCATCGAGAATAGGACGAATGTATAGAAGGGGAGGGAAAGAGAAGCATAGTGTGTGTAGCAAGTGCAGCGAAAACAAGCGGATCTATTTTAGCGAGCACTTCTCCAACTAGCCTATCGCATCTCTGACGCGTATCCGTGGCCACAATAAGGAATTTATTTCTCTCTTTTGTAACGAGAGAACGAGCAATTTGTTCTACGCACGAGCAGGAATTGCTAATATCCGACGAGTACAATTTGTCAGCATTGACATTTCTAACATTTTGTAATTAAAGGAAAGTTGTTTTAAATGTGGTATACAGCCAATTACATTATTACGGAATGCGTCCTGAATTTGTTACAAACAATTGTGTCGTATTACGTATTTTTTCAAACTAAAAAATGCATTGAAAAGGTGAATTATTTATAAGCATGGTATTGAAATGACAGGAATTGATTAAATAATATAAGAGCCTAATATCGTTTCTTGTTTAAAATTTGTATGTAAAATTCACAGATTCACCATAGAATGTGTTATTCTGTATTTTTCAAGTACTTATATTTTGGTCGAATTCCTATATGATATGATTTAAAAAGTTTAATTCTTATACAAGCTTTTGAAAAATCCACTAAATTAATTTTGTTCCTTCAGTTATCATTAGCACTTTTTTTACGTATTTTGTTATACATTTTTGTAATTCCCGTAGTAATAGTTTAAAATTACACACTTTAAGAGATAATTAAATGACCTAGCAGAATTGATTTCTCGCTTTAACTGCCATTTTAATCATAAAGATAACGGTTGAAAAACGAAATGTGTTTCTTCTGATATTCGTGCATATTTATTTGCGCTTTTATTATTTTATCATATTGAACAAAAGAAAATATTTATTTTACAATCTGATTCGAAACATTGAACTTGCAAAAAAAAGGAGCGAGCGACAAATAATTTGCGTGACGTTTGCATTATTATGCGAATTACATTATATATACATATTGCCGCGTCATCTAATAATCAAGAATTCAATATTCGATTCGCTATTTATTTTATTAACGCTAATATTACGATACATGTATAATTAATCACGGTATATATTTATGTTGCATTAACGTCAATAACAACAATGCTGACTAATCGAAAAGTTTTCCGTAAATCCGATCGATTTTGTAACGAATTCTATTGAGTTTTTATTAGAGATTGACGTAAAAATTAAATCCAATTTTGTAAAAGTCAATCAGCTGTCATACAATATCTCGCTTATTTTCCCCAGTACATTTCCAGTCCAATTTTCCGATAACAATGTTAGTTCGGAGACATGCAATATATGCTGCGATTAGATTATATAGCTGTAGATATGTATACTGCAAATACGTCGATAAAAAAATCGCAGATAATACATTCTTTCGGCGCGATTTTCTAGCC